TAATTTATATAATATTTTAAGGGTAATTTTGTTTTTTCAACCTTAGAAGACTATTGTGGTGAATGATTAAAATTTTTGGGTAAAGTGAAAAATGGCTGCTCTGATGTGGGTATTTTGAAAATTACCCCGCTTTACAAGGAGATTCTATCATCACAAATATATAATTTTTCTGACGCATACACGTACTCCAAGTAAGACAAAAAGACTTTCAGTTTATTCATTTAATTCAAAACGTATATTCTAGGCAATTTAAAAGTTTTATGGAATTAATTAGACTAAATATTATGAATTAATTATGTTTAACTTTATAATATCCCTTTTCAAATTCCAAGGAGCCGTAACTGAGTTCCAAAATGTAAATTTCTCCTTTCATTATTTTATTATAAATAAAATATAGAATTTATATTACTTTTCTTCTATCATATAACTCTTCTATCATATAACTCGAATATGACTCATCCAAAATTATTTCTACTTAAGCCAAATTATGTTATTTAGCACGAGTTTCAAAATGAATATAATATCGATATATATTTTTCAACATCTGAAATACTTAAATATAGGGACCTTGCAATAATTTCTAAAAAAAATTATACATAAGCAAAAAAATTCATTTATGTAAATAAGTGGTTCGAGTTTACCGTTTCAATTTTTTGGACTTTAGCGTGACGATCAAGTTAGACATGGACCATTCATTTGCTAAATGTCAAACCTTAAATTTAACCCATAGGAAAATATAATTAAAATTCGGGGTGTTACATAAGCAACCCACACCTATGCGCCCAAAAGAAAGTGCCATAGAGAACCCAGAACGAAAACACCACAGCGACGCGTTGGAAAACGCACCACAGAGACTCTTCGATCGCACCAAAGAACGCCGACGATTCAATTCCCACAAGACCCAACCTCTGGGAATCGACTTACAACAGTGAAGATGAAATCACACTTCAATCGAACACTACACTCTGCACACACGACAACAAAACACCACCACAGCCAAATCGAGAAACGGCGGACTGCTCCAGCGAGGACATCGACCACCAAACGGTCAACCAGCGGATCCAAATCGGGAGAAAAAAATAAATCTTGAATAACCTGAGCAAGGAATTCAAGCACTAACTACACCGAAGGCAGAAAATCAAGTTCAACTATGGATTTTACGGGTAGGCTCTGATATCATGTAAAACATTTTAGAATAAATAAATTTTCCATTGAACATGCGTACTTACAAATAATCTATATATGGAAATTCTATATATGGTACAAATATATTTATGTGCAAGAATATTCTCGTGATTTGAACATAATCTTCATCAATCTTAACATTAACATCAATGACTATACCAAAAATTGCATAACTTGATCCGAGCAGAACTATGGATTATGTCCAAAAACCCTCACGAGACCATAAGTGAATTTCTGAATTTCACATAACTTAAGTAGAGCCCGAGCCTTGTTCTCTTCCCTCCCTGTTAATCATATCATCATATATGGAGGGCAAACCAGTAGAATGATTCAATAACCTACGATTTCTGACAATTATTTGAAGAGATCAACCTGAATTTACTTTTCAAATTCCATAGAGAGGATATCAAACCAAAGAAACAACTTGTTCTGAGAACTGATTAGTTATTTAACCATAAACCTAACATAATGGCCATCTGAAACTGAAGAACCAATTCACACAATAATGAGCAGTAATGACGCAGGATGAGATGAAATAATTATAATTGATTGTTGCCGACGGGATTCCAAACAAGAAACAAATTATTTGTTTTGATTCTTATAAATTCAAACTTCAGCACTTCTTAAGAAAAAACAGGGCCAGGAGATAAGTAATCGAAAAACTGTCAAGCTCACCTATCAATAATTTATTTCATTGCAGGGTCTAAATCACAATCATCAAACCCGTCTTCAAGTGCATCCACCAAATTTGTTGAGTTACCAGGGCCAGATTGACAATTTCCGTGAAAAATAGCATTGTCACCGGCTGAATCAATCTCACTTCATTCCTACAACACAAAACGTTGTCAATTCCATGTGAGTGTTACATGTACGTAAACATGCACAGTGCAAATGTATCTCTATGGCAGGAGAAGGGGGACTGGACAGCTGGTAATGCCGCGTCTGTGGACAAACTGCTAAGAAGTTTACTAAAATTAAATCCTAGAAGCAAAGAACTCGAGAAAAAGAAATCAATCTCAACCTTATGTATATCTGTAGCATTTCTCAAAGAAGAGCTGCTGTTTGCAGCACAAATGCAATTTGAAGAAGTCTTTTGAAGGTCTTTCCTTCTATGGTTTTTCTTTTTATTTTTAGACGTTCCGGTCCCCTTGGAATCTGCAACCATAAACCCATTCATATGGACAAGTATCCATCAAAAATAAAATAAATGAAGATTGTAGAAAAGAGGACAGAAGGTAAGGAAATTACTACATAGCTTGAGTTTCAACAGCATTAACTTCTGAAATTTAATCACACAAGCAGAATAGAAGCAATGTAGTACTCAGAGAACCAGTAAAAAAAATAGATCAGGGATGCCATATAAATTCATAGTAACAATCAAAAAATTTATTAACTGATAATATTTATTAAATGTAGTACCCTTAATTTCAACGTAACCAAATAAGAAATTTTTAAAGAACAATAAGATAACAGAAACACACCCTCCAGAAAATTAGCCCAAACTCCTTTTTAAACGCTCATTTTTCCTCAAACTCTTTTTCAATTACACATTCTCCCGTTAAAATAATTTTACATGTGAAACAAAATTTTTTCCTACTTAATCATACATTCTCCAAAAAAAAAAAAAATCACTAATACAAAATCTATGCTCCTAAAAAATGAGGCTCAAACAAACCCTTAATAATAATAATGAATACATAAAATAAAAGAAATTGAAAAGGAAATTAAATATATGAAATTTGCACATACAGTTGAATAAAGTAATTTTTTCCTTAGATCTCAATTATGATCCTTCTCTAGAATGGGCTTTCAGAACTTAATATCTCAAATTGTGTATGATAATTACTCTAGTCCAGAGCATATGAAGGCAATCAGGGGGTCCACATCTTCACTATGTTTATATATANGTAATAAGCATGCCACAAGAAAACTCTTCGTCTTCCTTTTGCCCACACGGCCCGTACTTTTTGCTCGAGCTAACCTAACCCGACCCACTTTAAACATGCATACAATCGTTTTTTTTTTTTTGATAACCGTGGATGTCCGGATCAGCTTGCGTGCATTTCGACTAATTCTACGGGACCCTGAAGTTTACAGCATTTTCTCACCTCAGTGGTCTTGAAGGGACTCGAACTGGTGACCATTGGGGAGCAAACCCAATGCCTAACCAATCGAGCTACCCCTCAAGGTTCTTTACTATGTTTATATCATTACATTTTGAATCTACCAAGTAATCTTATTTCTTAACATTCATGAGATCAGAGTGAGTAACTAGATGAATAGAGCAGGCTCTCCCATAGAAAACATCTAGACCAAATTCTGCAAATTAATTGTCTAATTGAAAGATACATCTTTCTATCAAACAAGAATCACTTATATAGACCACTTTGCCTTGGGGTCCTATCCCAAGTTTCCACGTTGAATTGCGCATTCTAATAGAACACCAGAATCATTCTATTCCTTTCTAGACTCCAGCATTTCAAAAAGCACAGGATATTTTGTCATAATTATTTCCATGTAATTATAAGTTATTAATCTTCACAATTCCCAAATTACACAGAATTTTCCACCAACCAAAGGCCTATTCAAGGCTGCAAAATCACAATTTGTCTTCAGCACATAAGATACAAATTATCTCTATCAAAAATCCTAATGAACATGTAACTGAGTGCGCATCATTTGTCAAAAACCAACAGCTGATTAAAAAAAATAAATTTGTTATTCAATTTTAGAATTGTAACTATTTTCCTAATTTCTTTCAAGATGATGAATTTTTATGGTATCAACATCGAATCCAGTACAGAAGAAACAAAAAAATGAAAGGAAGAAACAGAGAAGGAATAAATACCTCCATCACCACCATTAATAAATGACAAGAGCTCATCAACTGAATGGTCATCCACACGCTCTTCAACCTCAACAGTCTGCAGAACACATTGAAGACCAATTGCCTCAGTATCAACTTGATCGTACTGCACATTATTAAAGAGGAGAATAACCACTACCTAAAAGCAACTTCTGAATCTGGAAAACTGAAAAATTAGAAAACAATAAAGGCAATAATGCTTTTAGCACCTTTACTCTTTCTCTTCCCTTCAAATCTTCCCTCTTTTTAGCCTGCAATCTATTCCAAAGCCGCAACCTTTGATTACCCATTGTGTCTCTGATAGGTGCCAATTTTTCTTCCTAAATCAATGAGACAAGTCATAATAAGAAAGCTAACGTGAAAGAACATGTATTCCTCCCCCCAAAATAAAAAGGACATTAAGCATGCGCCCTGCTAGAATGGACAAGACACCTCTGTGAGATCATCGGGCAGATGCAATAACTCCCGTATCTCAAATGCATTCCTCCAGTTAATCTCCCGTGCAATTGCACGACTGGTGAGAGAAACCAAATTACTAAGTTGCAGCCTGTCAGCAGCACCAGCCAACTCACAGAGGTTTTTACCATCAATTGAAAGGAACTTCTCATTAAATGACTTCTTCTACTACATCAAAGAAGAACAAAAACTGATATTTATTTCCTGTGACACCTAACGCAAATACAAAAGAGTCTCATTTCAGCATTTTCTTAACCACTATTGGCATACTTCAAGTTTTAGTTAGGACTAGGTGCAAGCAACGTGCAATGCTTGCTTAGTTTATATTTAATATTTTTGTTTAATAATTAATTTGTTATTAATAAAGATGTAATTTTTTTTGGTTAATTAAGGGCGTGTCTGGGCGCGCTGCAAGGAGGAAGGAAAATTGATTATGTTACCGTTTTTTTTTCAAACCTACAGCCCTACAGTGAGAGAATT